CCCCCCCCCCCCACTGCCTGGGGCAGGCCCGGGTCTCCCCGCAAGTGCACACTGACCTGTCCTTGCTGTGTGCAGGACCGCACCCTGAGGCTCTGGGAGTACAGAAGTGGCCGAGAGCTGCACTGCTGTCACCTGACCAGCCTGCAGGAGCCGGCGGAGCCCTGGGGTGACGAGGTAGCGTCTGGGTGTGGGTTTATTGGACTTTGCAGGGCGCCTCTCCAGTCCCAGGGATGCCGTGGGCCAGAGCCACTGTTGCGTGGGAAACGGCTCTCTGCCGTCAGCACAGACTTGTTCCAGCTTGGGAGAACGCGTGTTCTCCTTGAGGGCGCCCGGTCGCGTAAGTAGGAGATAATTTGTATTTCGCTGTATGTCCATTGCAACACCCGCTTTACAGAAGTGCCTCTCCCAATCCTGCTTGGAAACAGAAAAGACAGTGATGCTTGAGCAGAGAATTTAATTAGTCTCGTGACCCTCCCCATACCCCTGGGACGACACACTGGCCAGTGTATCCTCAGGTCAGGTCACCTGGGCCTTTGGTTGTGAAAGATTTTCAGGGGAGAACGTGTGGGCAGCCCTTTGAGGTGTTCCAGATTCCGTGCTCATGGGCACTCAGCTCTGTGATGCTTCCCAGCTGGTGCCCTGCACGGCTGAGGTCCAGGTTGGTCACCTGAGGACAGCCCCACCGGTTTTCCCGGAGGCCCTGCTGGGCCTGGCAGGGAGGGAGCAGTCCGTTCTCGTGGCTGTTCAGGCCTGCAGAGCTGGCCTTCGGTGTGGTTTCTTGATGACCAGGATGTCCTGCCTGTCACTGGGAGCTTTGCAGTTTCCCCCGGAGCCCCCACATGGCCCCCCGCCAGCCTGCAGGAGGTCCGCGTGAGCACCGAGGGCGTCTTCTGCCTCATCCTGGGACTGCCTGCTCGCTCTCGTCCCCCTGAGACTGCTCTGTAGCCGCTGCCCTTACTCCCTCTCAGAAGTGGGCAGGCCAGGCCTGACCACGGGCCAGAGCCTCAAGGACCCCTGGGGCCGTGGCCACCCAGCCGAGTGGCTGCCTGGGCCTCCGGCTCAGCCGACTCTGCTGCTCTGGCCACCTGCTCGTGGTGCCTTCTGCTTGGGTGGCTGCCGTGCTGGTGCCCCCGTCGGAGGCTGTGGCGAATAGAGGCCTGATTTGTTCCAGTGACTTTCATATTCGTGTTCTCTGAACCTTCTGATGCTCTGGGACAGTGAGGTTGAGAGAGGACCCTGAACCAGCAGCTGTCTGACCTCGGGCCTGGCCCTCAAGGCCTGTAGGGTCTGTGGAGCATCCCCGCCCCTCGGGCTCCTCGCCTCCCTCCCTCCCTGGAGTCCCCCTCCCACATGGCCCAGCCCCTCAGGCCAGGCTTGGTGAGCACCAGACCTTTCCCTCCACTTCTCCCGACTGGCAGGCGTCTGGTGGTTCCCTCTCCAGGACCAGGGGACCTCGACACCGTTGTGTTTTGGTAATAATTCCTTGTGTTCTCTGCTGCCCCCTGGTCTTGCTTTTTGACCAGTTCTGTTGGCTCCAGAGACACTGCATCAGCTCCGGAGGGAGGGCCAGAGCCACCGAGAGGCTTCTCCGTCTCTCGCGGCACGTCGGAACTGTGTCATGGGGGTCTGCCGTGTCTTCCTTTTCTCTCACCGATCTCCAGAAAATTCTAGGGCCGTCGTCTCTTTTTCCTTCCTCGACCGTGGTGGCAACCGTCAAAGTCTTGCCGCGTCCGATCTCGCTTTGAACAGAGTAGTCTGGGGCCGGGTCCCTGGCAGCTAGCGTGCATTTACGTTGCTGTGCTCCCTTGCAGAGGTTTGCTGCCTCCAGGATCACTTACTGGAGCCAGGACGGCTGCGTGGCGCTGCTGTGTGACTGGTGAGCTCGTGCTGCTGCGGGGCATCCGTGGGCCTCTTGCTGTGGGCTGGCCCTCCTGTACGCGCTGCTCGGTTCATGGTCTCCAGCTGTGCCTGAGAAAGTCTGTGCCCGAGAGCCACCCAAGAGTTGTGGAACGCACCTCAGTTGGTGCCTCCTGAGGGCCGGGCAGGTCACGGCACGACCCGCTGGCCCTCCCGAGGGCTCCCAGTGCCGAGGGGCGCTGAGGAGGAGGATTTCGGGGGCACGTGCCATCCGCGGGCGCACCAGCATCTTTATGCGCCGCATGGGCGTGTGGTGTGTCCGCACATCTCCTGTGTCCTCAGGACAAGCCTGCCGCGGGCGTCTTTGCTTGTCTTACAGCAAGGATGTGGGTTTAGAGCGGGTGGGAGTGCCAGTGCGTCCCGTGCCGTCCGAGGCGCAGCCGGGATGGTCACCTTCTCCACCTGTTTTGTGCTGCACTGGTTCCCTAGTACCACAGGGCAGGCTGGGCCAGAACTGGGCGACCTGCACTTGCAGCGACCCTAGGTCCTACGGCTCTCCGGTCCGGAGGCGGCTCGGCTAGGTGCGTCCGGCTGGGCCGCTCGTGAGCCTGCAGCCGAGAGGTTGGCGATGGCCGGGTCCCTGTTCGGGGCGACCTGGGCACAGCACTAAGCTGTACACGTTGAATGATACCACGTGGGCCTGGTCGTAGCCGTAATACAAGTTCTCTCTCTCTTTGCGGAAAGTATTCCCGCGATCTACGTTTTCCAGCTCGATGCCTCCAGACAGCAGCTGGTTTACAGACAGCGGCTGACGTTTCGGCACAGAGTGTGGGACATCGCTTTCGAGGAGGGCCGGGGACTGTGGGTCCTGCAGGACCACCGGGAAGCCCCCCTCGTGCTCTGCAGGCCTGTGGGCGGCCAGTGGCAGGTGAGGTTGCTGGCCTTGTGCCTCTAGTGGGGGTGGAGGGGGCGACGGCTGTGCCCCCTTCCAGCTCGATCGTGGCTCGGTGCTCGGGGGGGGTGTGGCCGGAGGATTTGTGACGTGGGTTCAGGGAGCAGGGATGCCCAGCCAGCTCTTCTTTTTTTTTTTTCTTAATGTCTTTATTTTTGAGGAAGAGAGAGAGTGAGTGAGGCAGAGTTTGAGTGGGGGAGGGTCAGAGAAAGAGGGAGACACAGAATCCGAAGCAGGCTCCAGGCTCCGAGCTGTCAGTACAGAGCCTGATGCGGGGCTCGAACCACGAACCGTGAGAACATCACCTGAGCCGAAGTTGGACGCCGAACTGACTGAGCCACCCAGGCGCCCCCCTCAGCCAGCTCTGTTCATGTCACGATGCCTGTAGTGGTTTTTTGGGGGGGGGGGGTAGTTGTCATCATTGGCATATGTTCCTTCTGACTTTTCTGGTCACGTGTCTTTTTAGCAGAGGAACCAACAGTTGGGGTGGCTTGGGTGTGTGGCCTCGACATCGGCAGGCTGCACGTGGCCTTGCACGTGGGGGACTGGACTCGCGCGCCCATGTGTGGAGAAAGGGGTGTGGGCTGTGGGCCGGGTGATGTGTGAACCTCGCACATTCTCTCAGTCGGCTCCCCTGTCTGTAAAGTGGCGTTGTCTCCCGCCCATCCCTAATCTCCTAGGACGTGGCGGGGGAGAATGAGATAAAGCCCGCCCGAGCCCCGTGCTGGCTGGCCCGTCCGTTACAAGCGCTCACTTGACCAAGGGCTTTGTAGATGCCCGGAGCCTCTCGGGATATTTTCATCTAGAAAGTGGTGGTGAACAGAATGCCCCCGGCTGGGATGTGTGGGGTCTGCTGGGGCTCCTCAGAAAAGGTCGCGCTCGACAAGCCAACGTGGAGGGAACGCCGGTGGCCTCACGTCATGGGTCTTTATCCAACGAGACGCGAGGACGGCTGTGTGTGTCGCGCTGGGACTGCCGGCTGGCTTTGCCTGGTGTCGGGCGGCCCGAGCGGGTGTCTCCCGGGCCCTGGCCGCCTGGACCACGCCTGGCGGGTCTGCCCTTTCCAGCGCCGGCAGCACCGCGGCCTGAGTCCTGCCTCTCTCCGTTGTCTTCTCAGGCTGCTCCTGAAGACGCCGTGGTAGAGAAAGTCTCCGCCCATCTCCGGGGGAACTGGGCCATGCTGGAAGGTAAGAACGTGGGCGCAGCCTGTTTTCGGGGTGACATCCAGAATTGGCCACGGCCAGGGGCAGATCCCAGGTTGCAATACACGGTAGGAAGCCGCTTTTCTGAGCAAGGATACAGGAAGCGTGGCATGCGTCCGTGTCCCCTCCAGAAGGCCAGTGGCTGGTTGGGGCACCGGGGGGCTGACCCACACCCACACTGGGAACGCCCAGTGTGAGCCTGCTCCAGGATCATGAGCTACATGGGAACTGGGGTCACAGTCGGGGCGGGGTCCACCCCTTTGCCTTCAGGGCTGCCGGTGCTGGTCCCCAGGGCGGGGCCGGTAACGGGTGGGCCTTCACTTGGAGCGTAGGGTGACTCGTGAGCCTCGAATGTTGGCCCTGAGCAGTTCCTGGCCATGAGGTCAGGCGTGGGGACAATCACTGGAACCCCTGAGGGTCTTCTTGGCCCAGTGTGGGACCCAGTGTGAACCCCAGGCCGAGAGAAGGGGAGAGACCGTGGTGAGAAGGCCGACCCCCCACCCCCCCAGAGTGGCGCTGCAGTGTGAGGAGAGTGGCCTGGCTGTCAGAGCCACGGGTCCCTGTCAGTTGAAGGGCCCGTGGTAAGCACTGAGTGCTGCCCTCACATAGTCCTGTCTGAGAACGTTACAAGAACAAGACCTCGCTTCGTTTTTATTGATAGAGGAAGGCAAGCCCTTAGCTGCACAGCTTCTAGCGACTTCCAGGATGCTTTTCTTGGGCAGAGACTTGAGGCGACCGTGTCACAGGGATGACTCATGGCCAGCTTTGGGAGTCAGCTGCCTTAAGACGTGGTTGAGCAGCAGACACCTGTCAAAGCCTTCCCCAGGCAGAAGTCCGAGTTCTTGGAACTCAAGAGAGTCACACGTGAATTCTGTCTGTGTTGACCCTGGCAACGACCTAAAGTCTCGTGGAAGGCGTTCTCATGGGGATTTGTTGGCTCTGTGTCCCAGGGTTAACTTCCAGCTTTCCTTTTGGGGTGGAAGGACTAGGGCAGTGACCGGGATCCGTCCTCCCAGCACTGTGTGGATTTGCTTTAGCAACACTGTCAAATGGGTCTGTAGCAGGACTGTGTTGGGGACACTGGCGAGCCTACTCCCTGCCTGATACTTGGCCATCGTCCCTGCCGGGGCCTGGGGCCAGCTTGTCTTGTTGTGGATCCCCTGGGAGGGCCAGGTCCAAGGTGGGCTTAGTTTTCCTGAAGTTCTGCAGGTAAACCAGTTTGCTCACAGCGCAGGTTTGGGGAAGGTGCTGGGGGTGGGGGAAGGGACCGGGGCGGAGACACAGGGAAGGAAGGCCAACTGAGCATGGAAGTCCCAGAAGAGGTAGGGGACCCAGAGCAGCGGGCCCTGTGGGGTTTCTGACCGGGGTGAAGTGGACCCCGTGGGGCTGGTCTGTGGCCATCAGGCCTCTCAACCCTTGACACTGAGATCAGTCCGCGTCCATTACCTTGCTGCGTAACGAGTATCCCATGCTCAGTGGGAGAAGGCGACAATACTTCTTACTGGGCTGTTTGTGTGGTTCTGAGAACCTCTGCTGCCCCTGGGGTGGGATCTGATTCCAGGCACGCACAGTGGTTGCTGGCAGGGTCCTGGTCCCTGCAGGCCGCTGGGCCGAGGGCCTCGCTTCCTTGCTGGCTATTGGCTGCAGGCCGCCTGCAGTCCCCAGCACAGGCGCCCCTGTGGGGCGGCTCATATGAGCGTGTGAGCCACGGCCCTTGTGCCTCGTCTCCCGGCGATGACCTGCCTTTGGCGTGTTGTTGGAAGCAAGTCCTGGGTCCGGCTGGTGTGGCCACCCGGAGACGGGCGTCATGGGGGTGCCTCGGAGCAGGTGTCGCGGGTCTGCTGGGAGGTCTGGGCCGTGGCGAGTTGATCCCCCTGCGTCGGGGCCTCGGTCCCCATCCCACCTGGCTTCTGTTTCCGTTCCTCCTGCACAGGCGTGGCTGGCGTGGACGTCGGTTTCAGCGGTCTCTACAAGGCCACCTTTGACAACGTGACTGCCTACCTGAGGAAGAAGGAGGAGAGGCTGCAGAAGCGGCGGAAGAACCCGGCTGCTGGGCCTAACGGGCAGGCCAAGAAGATGAAGCCGGGGGAGGCGTCCCTGAGGTGCTCGTCCTCGCCGCCCCCGCACTCTCGTGGCCTCGAGCCAGAGCCGGCTCTGCTGTCCCCTGTGCCCGCGGCTCCCCGTAAGAAACGGGGACATCGTTCCCGACCCACGCTCGGTGGCAGTTAGGTCCGCACCAGCTCCGCACGCGCGTGGGCCGTCCCAGAGAACTGGTCGGTATCCTGGCTCTAGAACTTTCCTCCGCCGAATAGGCTCTTCTGCCTGGCGTCTTGGGCACCCTGCTGGTTGAAGGGAAACCAGACAGCCTGGTGCTCAGCCAGAGATGCAGCGAGTGGTGCCGGTGCCGTGAAGCGCCTTTTCTTCGTATCGGAGGAGACCGGAACCCGTGGTGGGCGTGGTGGCCGTGGAGCTTCCACTGTTCCCGTGGCGCTGGACGCTTCTCCTCCAGGGGAGTCCGCGAGCTCTACGGCAGCGTGGGCGGCACGTTTCATCGCTGTGTCTCCCTCTAGATGGTGGGGCGTGCTGTCCGGCGTGGGGGCCCGAAACCCAGGCGGGGTGGCTCCGTTCCTCCGGTGGCCGCCACCGCCGTCTGCTTGGTCCCCGCCGCCGTGACGTGAGCTGGTCGGGGCGCGGGGCGCAGACTGGACTTCTTCGGGGCGTGAGGACCCGGGAGCCCCGACCGGAACCCAGCTCTCCGGGGAAACGGTGGAGGGTGTTACGTATATCTGTGATTTCCGCGTCAACGCTGCATGGGATGCAAAGACCCGGGGCATCCGCTGGATTCTAATCACCGATGAATAGAGATGAGCTTTTTGCAGCTTCTGGAAATGTTTAGGAGCAACATTTGGAACTAATTTCAAAATACATGGAGCAAAACCGTCTTTGATGAGTGTACTGTCTGTGACTGAAATGCTGACTTGTTAATGTGAAAAAGCGTTTTTTTGGTGGGTAGTCTTTACAGATGTGTCCGCTGATGTGTTTATTTGTGCTTTTACCCGCTTCCGGTGATCGGTCTCCGAGGTGGGAAAGCCCGTGTGTGTCCGTGACGCCTTTGGTGCGGGGTTTCTTGGGGTACTTAGAGACCAGTTGTTCTGTGTCACAGAAGCGAAATCCCTAAGTGCCTTGTTTTGCTTTAAACGTTGATCTGAAGACAGAGCCGTGGGTGAGGCGCTCACCCTTCCCACAAGGGGTACAGTGGGGTGTTGGGTTGGGCAGAAGTCGTTGAAGGAGCAGTGGGGGCGTGCCCAGGGGTGCCCCGGGGTCGTGCCCGAGGAGCCAGACCTCGTCAGCCCTGCACTGCACTGCGCACAGACAGCGTTCTCGTTAATCTGCTTTGAAGTTCTTGGTTTTAGGAGAAATTTGGGTCTGGTGGTGGTGACGCGTTGACGGGGGGCCTGCGGGCCAAGTCCTGCTGCTGCCTGGCTTTGTGTGGCCTGTGAGCCGGGAACGGCTTTCACATTTTTCAGTGATCGAAAACCAGGCAAAAGAAAAACAGTACTTCGTGGCATGTGAAAATCCCCTGCGACTCCAATCTAAGTGTCCTGAAGTAAAACCGTACTGGGACCCAGCTGCGCCCGTTGGTTTAGGTGTGGCCTCCGTCTGTTTTGGGCCACGACAGCAGAGCGGGGCAGTTTCACAGACCAGATGGCCGGTGCAGTCTGAGGTATTTATCACCTGGCTCTTAGGGGGAAGTTTGTCGATCTCTCTTTAAAATGCCTTTTAAACCTGTATAGTTTTAAAACTAACTGGTTACCGTCTTTGAAAACAAAGCCAAACCCTGTTCTTCTGTGTTCACGTGGGCTTTCTTTCTCACGGAACGTCCGCTGTGTTCGTGGGCAGGTGCCTGAAACAGGGCGGCAGGGGCGGGGCTGAGGGCTGTGTGCGCGGGGCCCTCTGGCACCTGCCTGGGAGGTGGTGCCGAGCCGCCCGTTAGGATCAGAACGGATGCAGGGCGGCCGCTGCCATCACTGCCTCTCCGGTGCTCGCTTTCAAATCTCTCTCGTTATTCTCACAGTCCCAGGTGCACACGGCCAAGACCAAACTGCTGCCCAGCCGACAGTGACAGTGACCCACCCTGCGCCCTTCAGCCCCGTTCCTCATTCCTTCTCCCAGCAGCCACGTTGCGCTCACTGCTTGGATATCCCTTCGTACGTCCGCATCCTCCAAGAACCACCACGCTGCCGACAGTAATAACGCAGTCGGCGGGTCGTGCTCCGTCCACATGGGTGCTTTCGTCCCCCTCCTGCCCCAGCACACGCGGACTCGGGCTCCGGCAGCGGGCGGGGCTGGGGGTGGGAGAGGAGACCCAGCACCCTTCTCCTCTGCCGCAGCTGCCTCCTGTGGGGCTGCACCCCTTTGGGACCGAAGTGGCCTCCTGGTCCTGAAACCCTGTCCCTGTCTTAAGTGAGGCCCTGCATCCAGGCCTTCCCAGAGGTGGGTGTGAGCCGTGTTCCCGTGGGGACCCTGACCCGCAGGCCCCCGGCTGCCCCAGGCCTTTCTTTCTCTGGTTGGTCGGAACGCACACCCGTGATGGCCACGTGCTGTGTTGGAAGGGCTTTCTGTCTCGTGCTCCCTTTCTCCCACGACGGCCTTGCTGGGAAGCCGCGTCCGCCGCCAGCTGGCTCACAAAGCCGGCCTCTTTGTGTTTCCGCCTCTTGGCCTGCCGTGGGAGCTGAGGATTAGCTCCTTACACACCCCGTTGGTTTTGTTTTCTACTTTCCATTTTTTCTTCCTGTTTGTACGTTTTACTTTCTGGGGGGAGAAGGATTCTTGGGCTTTGTTCCAACTTGTTTTATTTTTAAGTGATCTCTACACCCAGTGTTGGCGCTTCTTGAACTCACAACCCTGAGGTCAAGAGTCACGTGCTCCACCGATGGAGACCACCAGGCGCCCCCAGGTCATTTATCGATTTAAAAAGATCGGTGGTCTTTTTTTGTTGTTGTATTTTGAGAGCGAGAGCGTGCAAGTGTGGGGGAGGGGCAGAGAGAGAGGGAGAGACAGAAACCCAGGCAGGCTCCATGCAAGGAGGCTGCTGGAGCTTGATCTCATGACCCTGGGATCATGACCTGAGCTGAAATCAAGAATTAGATGCTCAGTTGACATATTTCTTAATCCTTACTGCTTTCTTGGTCTGTTTGCATTTTGAGTACGGCTGGAAGGGGCACGTCCAGTGGGCCCACTAGAGAGTCACCAGCTGAGTGCACGCGTGTGACATGTCCACAGAAACAATGGGGAGACATCCCCGCCCCCTGAGGCCCAGGCTCACCAACACTTTGCCCTTAGTGGCTTCAGGCCCCTTGGGCCCCCCTCTCCCGCTGAGATTCATCCGCATCGTGACACGGGATCGTAGGTGGTTCATTCTTGCTACGTGCTGCGCCCAGTGTGAAGATACCACGGCACGTCCGTTCCGTCAGGGGCCTTTGACTAGTTCGCGTACCGGCCACGATGAACTTTGTGGTCCTTGTCTCTGGGAACGTGCCAACGTTTCTGTTAGATGTGTACTCAGGACTGGCCCATGGTTTCCCCTGTGTTCCGTTTAGATGGTGCTGTCGGCCTGGCGTTGTTCATGCAACCCTCCCGCTGCAGACCGGAACATTCGGTGCATCCTCCAGACTCAGCGTTTCGGTTGTGATGACGTTTACTTTCACAAAGGCAAGTTACGGGCTGGTGTGCGGCAGCTGAGAAAGCCGCCCACCCAGTGTCCAGACTTACATTTGATCTTGTTCTCGGCAAGGTCACCTTAAAGGAACAGCTGGATCAGCCACTGTGGGGGCAGCCAGCCGCCGGGGGGTGAGGGCAGCCGAGCAGCCTTGTGAAGAGGGCGACCTGCCGAGGAGCTGAGGCCTCTTGCCGATAAACAGCACCGGCTGGCCGTTCCGGAAGGGCTCCCCCTGACACTGATGTAGGGCACTGTCGAGTTTTCCTACAGCACCAGTGCCTGAAGCCTTACGTGTTGACACGCAGTTTTGCTAATTTCCCTTGTGATTTTTGTTTCGATCCTGGTTATTTGGAAGTGTGGTGTAATTTGCAAACGTTTGCTTTTTTTTCCCTAGATTTTTTTTTCGTTGTTGTTACGGATTTCTTGTTTTAATTCCCTGTGGTCTCAGAGTATACTTTGACTTCCTTCCTTTTAGATGCCTCGAGGCTGGTATGTCGCCGCACTTGACCGGAACGTGTGTTCTTGTAGTTTTGTGGCAGCTGGAGGCCACTCTGTTAGTGGTGCTCAGACCCAGCTGGCGACGGTTCTGGTCGTCCTCAGCGGGAAGAACACTGTGTACTTGTATTGATTCTGAAGTCAGTATTGTTTTCCTAATTTTTTATTCTTTTTGAATGTTTATTTTTGAGAGAGAGAAAACACGCACATGAGCCGGGGAGGGGCAGAGAGAGAGGGAGAAAGAGGGTCTCAAGCAGGCTTTGAAGTCAATGCAGAACCCGAAGTGGGGCTCACCCCGCGGACCGTGAGATCATGATCTGAGCCAAAATCAAGAGTCAGACGCTCAACCAACAGCCACCCACGCGCCCCTGAAATCAGCATTTATTTAAATGAATTTATAATTTTTTTTTCAACGTTTTTTTTTTTTTATTTATTTATTTTTGGGACAGAGAGAGACAGAGCATGAATGGGGGAGGGGCAGAGAGAGAGGGAGACACAGAATCGGAAACAGGCTCCAGGCTCTGAGCCATCAGCCCAGAGCCTGACGCGGGGCTCGAACTCCCGGACCGCGAGATCGTGACCTGGCTGAAGTCGGACGCTTAACCGACTGCGCCACCCAGGCGCCCCTTATAATTTTTTTTTAATGTTTATTTTTGAGAGAGAGAGAGAGAGGGGGGGCGCTCATGAGCAGGAGAGGGAGGGAGACACAGAATCCGAAGCAGGCTCCAGGCAACAAGCTGACAGGAACAGAGCCTGACACGAGGCTCAAACTCACAGACCGTGAGATTATGACCTGAACCCAAGTCACATGCTTAACCGACTGAGCCACCAAGGTGCCCCTGAAATCAGTATTTTGTTTTATTTTACTTTATTATTACTTTTAAACGTGTGTTTATTTTTGAGACAGAGACAGAATGTGAGTAGGTTAGGGGCAGAGAGAGAGG